AGTAACCTGATATTAACCAATCAGTTTTCTTTCTATTATTCTGTCTCACTGCCCCACCTTACAAGGAAAGTAACTTTGAAATGACCAACTTGCTTTTTGTTGTTTCTTCTTTCTTCAGCCCTTTTTCTGTCTGTAAAGTCAACCACATCTGCTCCATTCATGGGAACACCTATTCTATCGGTGTTCTATTGCCCCTCACCTTCCTTCAACTTTTTGCCACCTCTCCCAGAGCTCGGAGGAACTTTGTCCCAGACCATTGTCTGTTCTTTGAGCTCATTCATGTCTTCTGAAAATAATTTGCTACCCCTCAAAATTGCTTACATCCTCTATTTTCTTCTCCCCTACGAAGCGAGTACTTGAGTGTCAACTGTCTGGCCCTTCTTTGAGTCTTATGTTTTGTATGACTCTTGTGCACAGTATCACGTTAATACCTTTGTATGCCTTTTCTCCTGTTATTCTCTCTATTGTTGGTAATTTCATCAGACTCAAACCTTCAGATGTGAAAAATTTCCTTTGCCCCCAACAATAAACTGGTTAATTCTGTTCTATGCTTATCTCCTTCTGATAATGTCTTGCTAAAAACATAAAAAATCACCAACATCTACCATTAATATTGCTTTCTGAACTCCTCCCTTAGCTTTACAAGTTATGTAGATACTAATCTGCCTTGTGAGATATTGTAAGCAAGAGTTTAGCCACCGCCTAATGTGAACCTTCAGCTGTCCACCCTCTTACATCTATTTCCTCAATTCCCACGTGATTACTGTGCTAAGCTAATGACACATATTTTAGCTTTTTGTTATTGTAGGCCATCGCTATTGTTAATCAGAGTTAGTGATTTTAGCTATTGCAACAAACCACCCTCAAATCTCAGGGTCATAACCCAATGAAGATTTATTTTTTGCTCCAATCAGTCCAATGAGGATAAGTGTGTTGACACAATTATTAAGAAACCCAGAGTCCTTCTATTTAATGTTTCTGCCATCCCCCAGCTTCTCAGAGTTTTCTGTATCTGGCTGATTGGTGTGTGAAAAACAAACAGGAACTATAAATTACTGGAAGTTTTAAGGTCAGGCTTACATGGGAGGGTCACTGCTTCTGTTTACATTCCACTGTCCAGAATTAGTCACACAGCCCAATATAAAGGTAAGATAGCTGGGAAACATAGGTCTCCTGGGTGCAAAGAGGAAAATAAGATGGTGAATATGTATCATTATCTCTGTCACACTTAACGATGATTTCAGTTGCAGGTAACAGAAAATTCAACTCAAATTGGCTTTGTTGGGGAGGAAAAACTTTTCCTTCTACCTTTTGAGGTTCTATAATTGGGGGCCTGTAAATTAAACTGACAAAGGACAAGAGAAGACAGATTTTAATCACATATATGTAAGGGAGATCACAAAGAAGTGTGACTCCAGAGGCTGGTTAGAATTTGGGGCTTATAGACTGATACTTCCCTGAAGGGGAGGGGGAGAAAAGCACTTATGGGAAAACAAATGACTTCTTAGAAGGGGAAGGAGCGGAAAGGGCACTTATGGAAACGACTTTCGGGAAAGATAAATGGGCCCTTTGGAGAATAGATGGGAGATATCATAGTTTTTTTGACAATGTCTGTTTAGATGTGGTGACAATTCTCACAGTCTCTGACGGTGACTCAATCTTCCTTGGTTGCTCCCTGGAGGGAATTTATAACAATTGAGTTCTTTTGGGTTCTTTTGAAAGGCTCTGCTTTTAGGTAGATAAGGGATTTCAGGAACTTAAACATATTCAGCTCAAAATAATTTTTATGCCACAATGGCTTATTCTGGATCCCTTCAGCTTAAACAACAAAGGGAATTTATTGGCTCATAAACCAGAGAAGTCTAGAGGTAGTATGGGTTCCGGTGATGTTTTATTTGAAGGTTTATGATTCTCTCAGGGATTGGCTTCCTTTCCCTATGATTGATTCTCCCAACCATTCCTCCTCCACGTGTTGGCTTTATTTTCAGTTGGCTCTACTTAGTAGCAAAGGAAAAAAAAAAAAGAGAGAGAGAGGGAGAATGTAGCTCTCCCAGTATTTACATTTGAATGCTATACTATTCAGAGAAAAAAAATAACTTCTCTGTTCTTTACTATAAAACAAAAATCCTAGGCTTCCCTCTGATTGGCCTCTGAAACAAAACTAGTTTAAAGGGTGAGGATAACTCTGATAACTTTTGGCCAGTTGGACAATTCTTGGACCTGTTATGGGGTGTATTACGTCTGTCCAAATTGCATAGATGAACACAAAGTACTTGTGGAATGAGAGCTGGGAGATCACCCATATTCATTGCAGTAATTCATGTAGGGATATGGAGCATAATCTCACTTAAGGAGAATGAGTACTGTGAGGATATCTATAGCAAGTGTGTAACATGTAAAATAGGCTGAGAACATAAGTCAGAGAAGCTCGTAAAAAACAATGGGAAAGTTCAGACAGTAAGTCAGGAGAACCAAAAGAATGGCGTTCTAGAGGCCAAGGGCGTATGATGTCAGAAGTTTGAAGTACGATGTCAGAATCATCCAAATAACTTCCTGTGTGCTGATTCTATACTCACGAGTCATCTTTTGTAATTTGGCTTCTCATGTAAATGTTCCTTTGAATGAAAATGTTAACCAGCTTTCTGGTCTCCATGGCAGTTGTGTTTTTCATGAACAACAACAAAAAACAATTGCAATTCTCGTTTACACATCAGTCTCAGTAAGTTTGGTTGGTATGAATCATCCCGCAGGATTCAAATTAGTTCTGGAGACTGGCAACATTGAGCTTTTGTCTCTACAAAGTGAGGACTAGACTCTAGAATACAGAGTGCAATCCTCTCTTTCATCCTGTTACAAATAAAAATAATAGGATGCCATCATTTTGTTTTATTTTTTATTTTTATTTTTTATTTTCATAGGTTTTTGGGGAACAGGTGGTGTCTGGTTACATGAATACGTTCTTTAGTGGTGATTTCTGAGATTATGGCGCACCCATCACCCGAGCAGTATACACTCTACCCAATGTATGGTCTTTCATGCCTCACTCCCCTCCCACGCTCTCCGCGGAGTCCCCAAAGTCCACTGTATCATTACTATGCCTTTGCATCCCTACAACTTAGTTCCCACTTATGAGAACACACAATGTTTGGTTTTCCATTCCTGAGTTACTTCACTTAAAACAATGGTCTCCAATTCCATCCAGGTTGCTGCGACTGCCATTATTTCATTCCTTTTTATGAGGATGCCATTGTTTTGGACCAAACTCCTGCACTAAGCCCCAACAGACTAGACTAAAAATCAACATGGAGTTACCCATGCTCACAAAACTGAAACTGAGTTGTTATGTGGCCTTCTGAGAAATCAGGAGAGCGGTAACAGCCTAATTTCCCAAACAGGCCAGTTTAAACCTTCAATCCCCATAATAATGAAGTTCCCTGTTTTAACTCGTTTGTTTGTTTTTGAGACAGAGTCTTGATCTGTTGCTCAGGCTGGACTGCAGCGGCAGGATCATGGCTCACTGCAGCCTTGAACTCCTGAACTGAAGGAATCCTCCTGCCTCAGCCTCCTCAGTAGCTGGGACTACAGGTACACATCACCACACCCGGCTGCTATTGTTCTTACAATAGTAACCTGGAGTAACCTGATATTAACCAATCAGTTTTCTTTCTATTATTCTGTCTCACTGCCCCACCTTACAAGGAAAGTAACTTTGAAATGACCAACTTGTTTTTTGTTGTTTCTTCTTTCTTCAGCCCTTTTTCTGTCTATAAAGCCAACCACATCTGCTCCATTCAAGGGAACACCTGTTCTGTTTTATGGAATGAAGTGGTGCCTGAATCTAGAATTGCAATAAAGCCAGGTGAGATCTTTAAATTCGTTGTAATTTTGCCTGACACTGTAGCATGCTTTGCTAACCTCTAGGGACTGTATTTGAAAAACGACGTCTTAAGAATATTTCAAGATTTTGGAATTTTTAAACTTTCCATGTTTGCTGTTTGGACTATTTTCTGTCTTTTCCTGTAAAGTTTATTTTCAGGGCCAGCAGGAAAGGGAAAGCTGGGTAGATGATCCCAGGCCCATTTGGGAGAAGGCTAGGTCATGGTTACCTCCAAGTACACAAGATCTGTAGGAGTGATCCAGGTGGCCTTTGGGGAAGATTAATTTGGGGGCAGCAATCAATATGGAGACTACAATAATGATAAACACTTGAGGAAAGCTAGGGAAAGCTGGATGAGAGAGAAGAAACTGAATTCAAATAGGAAGACGAATTAGCAAGATTCAGTGATTGAACAGGGTGTCTGTTAAGGATCCTACCAGGCAAGATTTCAAGTCTTGGTCACTCACAAGCTGCACCAGTAATGCCATTGCTCTTGAGAAGTCAATCAGTTTAGGAAACTTTCCTTACAGATCAGAATACAACTTTTAGCAAGTATTTATGCAGGCAGTATCTTGGCAAGTGTTCTTCTTGTAAATTCTTATACTTCTCGTTGTCATAACTTTTGAAAATGCTATTACAGGTTAATATCCAGATGGCAGAATTAGGAATTAGAGTGTGAAAGTTAATCATTCGAATTGGGTCACTCTTGTCATAACCAACTAAAAGAGTGGAGAAGCCAGTGGTGGGGGAAGCAGGGCACATACCATTGCTCCAAGAATAGAATTCTCTGCAAGCCTGGCTGCTGAAACCACCTGCTGTAACCTGAAATAAGTTTCATCTTCAGGTTTTAGCTTCTGAAAGAACCTGCTGCAGCTGTAGGGCAAGTTTTACAAACCCCCTTCACTTACCAATCAGAACTAACCAGCTGCCCAAAACTTTACTAAATGTCAATGAACTTTCTGGAAAAACAATAGATAACTTTTTTTTTTTTTAAATAAAACCCCCTAACTCCTCTTTGTTCTTCTCACATACTGAAGACCACCCTGTATTTGTAATAACCTGAACTTGCAATTACTGTGTCCCAAATGAAACGCTAAATGTAGAGATTCGTCTCTTCGTATTTGACTTCGACAGGGTCGCAAGCAAAACCAAACATTTAAAACAGACTTGGTAAAATCAGCCAATTATGAAAAGAAACGGACGATTCCTTTTTCTCTTCTGGTTTAGTCTTCGCCCCACAGCCTCCGCGATTCTTTCGAACGGCGGTTCTACCCTGTGACCTTTTCACTTTCCAAGTCAACGGACTGGGGGTCGTTACACACGCGGAGGGCCCGGAACGCACGGCTCCTCGCCTGCAAATTCCGAGCAGTCCGGATTTTGGGGCTGCCGCCCGGCCACACCAACGAGCAGCCTGCACCCACATGGTGACCGGGCCCTGGCCCTCGCCCCCGACCGGCGCGTGGGTCTTCGAGGGCCCGCGACGCGGCGCACATGTCGGTGCCCGCCTCCCGCGTCGGCGACAAGACAGGGAGCTCGGACACGGGGAGGCTGACCCGGAGCCTACCCATGAGGCAGCGCGCCGGCTGCACGAGAGCCCCCCCTTTCCACGGCTCGGCTGCCAGCTCCGCAATGGGAGCCGCCGCCGTCGCCGCAGTGTAGTTTTTCGTGCTCCTCCTTTTCCTCCTCCTCTTTCTCCTCCTCCTCAGGGCTCCAGTCAGGCCGATCCGCTCCGCTCACGGTAAGCGCCCCCCGCCCCC